CAGCATCACCCACATCTCTTCCCAGTTGCAGATAAAATTCCACCTGTTGATCACCAGGCTCCCATCCTTTTACTCCTGGGTAGGGACATTCTCAGGGTCCATAAGGTACGTGAGCAAATCAACGGGCCAAACAATGCTCCTTACGCCCAAAGACTAGACTTGGGTTGGGTTACCGTGGGAGAGGTGTGTTCAGGAAAAACGCATGGTCCACCAGAGGTCAACGTTTACAAAACACACACCTTAGATAATGGTCGTGTGTCCTACTTTCAGCCTTGCCCAAACATAATTCATGTTAAAGAGAATTATGGGGTTGTGTTAGACAACGTCTGTGACACAGATGACTTAGGGCACGCTGTGTTTGCTAGGTCTCAATGTGATGATAAACGAGCTTTATCGATCGAAGACAAAGCTTTCCTAAAAATTATGGACAGAGAAGTCTACCAAAATGAAGAGAACAGTTGGGTTGCACCTTTAACCTTTCGTTCACAGAGGAGAAAACTCCCGAATAACAGAGAACAAGCTCTAAAGCGTCTCTCTACACTGAAAAAGACATTGGCAAAGAGACCAGAGATGAAAGCTCACTATGTCCAGTTCATGCAAAAAATGTTGGACAATGGCCAAGCGGAATTAGCTCCGCCCGTCACAGTAGATAAAGAACTGTGGTATCTGCCTACATTCGGGGTATACCACCCTCAGAAACCAGAACAAATCCGGGTTGTGTTTGACTCGAGTGCAGAGTGTGACAGGGTTTCCCTTAACCAAGTGCTTCTTAGTGGACCCGATTTGAACAACTCTCTGTTAGGAGTGCTGCTACGGTTTCGTAAAGAGCCAATAGCCCTGACAGCCGATATACAGCAAATGTTTTACTGCTTTGTTGTTCGAGAGGACCATAGAGATTATTTGCGCTATTTGTGGTTCGAGGACAATGACATTACAAAAAAGATACTAGAGTTTAGAATGAAAGTTCACGTATTTGGAAACAGCCCGTCTCCTGCTGTTGCCATTTACTGTATGAGACGAGCGGCACGACAGGGTGAACGAGAACATGGCTCTGATGCGCGTCAGTTTGTTGAGCGTCAATTTTATGTTGATGATGGTCTCACATCTGTTGCCACGCCACAAGATGCTATTGACCTACTTAAGAGAACTCAAAACATGTTGGCGGAGTCAAACCTACGCCTTCATAAGATAGCATCAAACTGCAGTCAAGTTATGGAAGCCTTCCCTTCAGAGGATCATGCAAAAGACTTAAAACATTTAGATCTAGGAGTAGATCCTCTTCCAGTTCAGAGAACCCTAGGACTCTGCTGGAACCTACAAGCTGATAGCTTTACTTACCGTGTGTCAGCTGAGACCAAACCATTCACACGCAGGGGACTACTGTCAGTGATAAATAGCCTCTATGACCCATTGGGGCTGGTTTCCCCAGTCATAATGCAGGGCAAAGCATTACTAAGGGATCTCTCATCTGAAGTTAGGGATTGGGACGAACCGTTACCCCCCAACAAACAGGAAACGTGGGACACGTGGAAAAAGTCATTGCAAGCCCTTGAAAACCTCCAAATACCAAGATGCTACTGCTCAGGTACATTAAGCATAAGTAAGGTAAAAGAGCTCTGCATTTTCTCTGATGCCTCTACCGTGGCTATAGGAGCAGTAGCTTATTTGCGAACAGCTAGTGATGAAGGACGCAGCCATGTCGGCTTTGTAATGGGAAAGTCCAAGCTTTCACCTCGTCCAGCACATACAGTACCGCGCCTAGAACTTTGTGCTGCTGTGCTTGCAGTGGAGATGTTCGAGCTTATTAGGGATGAGCTAGACATCAAAGTGGACTGTGTGAAGTTTTACACAGATAGCAAGATTGTGTTGGGATATATACACAACACTTCCAAACGCTTCTACATGTATGTTGCAAACAGGGTTACACGTATTAGAGCATCCACACAACCAAACCAGTGG